TTCTTCATTATACTGACCATAACTTCAAAACTGGACTGTTTTCTTAGGCTGCCTTTATAGCTTTTACAGAGAGTCGAAGGGAAGCTGTGCATAAGCTTGGAAGAAAAAGAAGTGAAGATTTCTAAGTAGGCAGAAGTCTTATGTGGTTCAGAAAGCTTTGTGCTGCTTTAGCCTGGGAAAATAGTTAAGTGTGCATGTACTTACTGAATCATTTGTTTTGGCATCAGCTTCTAGTGGTGCTGTTTTGGCCCATGGTTTGAGCCAATAGGCTGCTCTTAGGTTGTTATTTTGTATAAAGGTTTTTCAACATGGAATACTTGCTTTAAGCTACTGTCATGTGAGAAAAAGGTCTATTTGTACTTGTGCTCAGTGATGCATAATTTTTCTTTCTTAGAGCTCCTGCCTTAGGACTTAAATCTCAGCTGCTTTTTATGGTTCTATGTTTTATGGAATAGAATCCAGCCAATATTTGCATTTTAATAACATTAATAAGAAATTTATAATTAATTAATAAACTGTTATTGACAGGAGTATTTCTATATGTAAAGAATGAAACAGAATAATTTAAAATCATGAGAGAGGTGTGTTTAACAATAATCAATAAATCCCTAGGCCACTATTTTCCAGAAGCTGGCAAATTGTGACAATGGAAATAACACTTTATATTTGTCCAATTTCTTACACTCTTTACTCAAGCAACTGTTGGCAAAAACGGAATAGTAGGATACTCCAAGGAGATCCAAATGGCTTTTAGATCTTTTGGATCACTGTTCAGTGTCATCACAGCTGCTTTTGCATTCCAACAAGGAACATTCATGAAACTGCTTTTTGCCATACCTTCAGGAGAAACTAACTAGAGGAACAAGGGCCTTTCTGCAAAATTTGGAGATAGACTCACTATTGTGTTGTGTTTGGAGTATATCTATTTGTCTTCACAGAGTATTGTACTACATGTTGAGCTTTTTGTAATTAAGAAGCTAGATTGGCTGGTTTGTAGAAATGCTACAATAGATGCTCAAGAGTAAAACTCTAACTTGGAAAGAAATGTTAACTCTGTTAAGAGGATAGACATGTCTACACATCTCTCTTACCTGCTCTGAAGACAGTCCGTAAAACGAAGAAAAAGTTTTCTCACTTTATCAGCCCATGCGGCTAAAAACTCTGATGGCTTTTCCCAAGCTCTCTTAATTAATATTTGGGAGCCAGAGTGAATGCAGTTAACCAAAAGTTTCTGATAATGAGAATGAAATGTTTGCTTTGATTTCAAGGTTCCTGCTGGGAATCCATAGGGGACTAGTTCCTTCCATGGAGCTGCTTTATTGAGTTGAGTGTTTTAGACTCCTTGTCTCCCAGGTTTTTAATGTTTTATTTCTTTATTTTTGAATAAATGCCAGAATTTTCTCTTCTCAGAAATGACAAAAAAAAAGATAATTTTTAATTAATTATCAAAAACAACTTTAATAGCCCTCGAGAAATATGAATGGAAAAGAGAGAGAAACGGAACTTCAAATCCCACGTCTGAGAACACTCTTAAGTAATGTTTTTTCAGATTTTTCAATAATCTGGATTTATAATCCTAATTTTATCATATTAATACTGAAGAAGAAAACAAAATATTTACAATAATTTAATTACATTTTACAATTTAAAATTTAAAATTAAAATTTTCTTGTTATAATCTAAATGTTCAGCATTTTTCCTATTCAATAAAATAGAGAATTGGCTAATCTAGAAGCAGACATACACTAAGGTGAAACATTACCTAATTCAAATCATATTTCTACGTAGACGTGTATCAGAGAGCAGGTGACTAAATAGGTGCTCTTTACTTTCAGTACGTTAGAAATAGTATCCATTCCTTTGGTTAATCTGCTGGAGGGTGTTGAGGTGCTGGAAAAGATGGTTCATTATGAACATTGCCTCATAAGAATCAATTAAAAAAGATTTAAAGAGCTTTTATCCTCTAATGCTCCATTTAGGTGATAAACGTCTTCTAATCACATTGAGGACAATAATATAGTTGGTTATAAAAATAAATTACTGTCGGAACTGAAAATATGGTACTGTGAGAAACCTGTATAATTTAGATTTATAGAATAAATAATAATGTATAGGAATACTTGTTATTCTCTGAGGTCCCTGGAAATTTTAATATTATTGACAATAAGAATTAAAATTAGACTTTGATACTGACAAAGTATAAAAATAAAATCAAGTTGAAACAACCTTACCCTACTAGGTTACTAGTAAGAAGTTTTGGTCTTTAAAAAGGTACAGTGGTAAAAAATGTACCCATGTTATCTAGAGTATTTTTTTTAAAAATAAAAATAGCAAAGTTTTAAAAATATTTCGCTGAAATGGCTGTGCCAGAAGCCTGAGTTTCTTATTCAATGTACTTCAATGAATGTCACACTTTATTAGATGGACTGTATTTACTTTTATTTTTTTATTAATCTGACCTCCTTAAATGCATTACATTACCATTTTTATTGCTTTTGTAACTTACCACGAAAAGGTAACCAAGGCTTCTGTTGGAGTGTGACATTCTTTCTCCATCTTGCCACAGCTGGAGTAATCTTACAAGTGTCAGTTAGACTTGCCTGTTCTCATGAGGGATCTCAGAGTATCACCAGATGCTGTTTTACCAACAGTCTTTGCTTCATATCTAATAAGTCACATGCTTGCTGATTTTTCGGGCTACATTATAAGACCTTTCTTATAAAGCTCTGTTTCAGGGAAGTGTGTATGTGCAGAGAAGCAGAGAAATTGCATACTGGATTTACCAATAGATTACTGATCTTGAATCAGCAGCTACATGTGTGCTTATAATGCATGCATGAGATTTTTATATGTGTGGAAGCCTTACTTACACAGCAGTCATAGGTATGACTGTTGCTGATCTGTAGAGAGCTGTGTGCTATTACCAACTCAGCTATGATTTCCTGACAGTTTGCACAATGCAGGCTAACATTGGGAGCGTCAAGTTTCATTATTTGCGGTAGTTTCTGGAGATTGTCTGATGGTGAACGTGGAGAGCACACTGTTCCTGCAACTCTTGGTATCCCTTTTTCACTACAAGCTACAGACATTGTTTCTAGGCCTTTTTCCACTAATATGACTGCCACATATGCACTTATAAGACAGGTTGAGGTCCCCTATAGTATATGCTTGTTTCTAAATAAAACTGGTGCAAACAAAACCAGCATTCTAAATGAAACTGATTATGTATTACTCTTCACTCTTCTTCCAGATGAACAAAAAAGGCATGCCATTTAAGATAAATTTATGTTTTATTTAGTTTGTCTGTTAGGACGGTGCAAAAAATAATGTAGTCTTTGATGTTGTAAGTATGTTTGTGCTACAAAGGAACATGTATCGTTTGAGACTTGTTTGTTCATATCCTTAGAAAAAGATGCCAAATTTTCGGTCGCTGGTGACCAGGGAAAGTCACCTTTTCCTTATTGCTCATGTGTTTGTAATATGAAGTATTTCCTAGAGGTTGTCAAGTTCCTAGTAAGTTCAGAAAACAAATTGTCCAGCTGTTTTATAACAGAGTCTTGGGACTTAGGTGTCTTATACCTGTTTTATTGCTCTCTCACATGACCCTGCAGGTCTTAAATATGTTTTGGTATCTACTATGTTTCTAAGTAATGTACAGGTCAAACATAAAATAAGTAAAAATGTGCTCTATTGTTTGAGTTGTTTGCAGCTGCAAATTCATGTTATGATGCAATCATGTGAAGAAGGAAGCTTGACTCTTGAGTGATGACATGAAGTTACCTGTAGTTATGAGCACCTTATCCAAGCTGCTTAGAGAAGGTGCCAGGGACAATCAACAATGGCAGAATAGATCTTCTGGGTTTTTTAGTTGACAGTTGGGAAAAGTTTTTCATGTAAGATAAAAAGACTTAGAAAGGTAGTCACTTTCTAGCCATTAAGCAAAGGAGGATATCTTTTCAAAATATTTCTCTACTGGATGACTCTCAGTTATGTAAGGGATCCAAATAAGATCTTGAAATAAAATCTTGAAATAAAAAAGTTGCCTTTTAATGGGATGACATGTTAATGCAGTGGTAGGCTGCTTAAATCTATTCCTGTCTGTGTATTTTACAGTATGACGATGTATCATTCAGGAAAGAAATAAACTGCAGTTGTAAAAGTTTATTTAGTATATTGGAGACAATTTTATTATAATAACATTATATTATAAGATAATAAGCATGAAGTTTTAGAATACTTCATTTAATTTGATTAAGGGAGTATAGATTCTTATTTCTTTAAAACTGTAGCCAGATCTTTTCTGCCTGTATTTGTGGCAAGCCACTTACATCATTAAGTCTTCTGAAAAGTTCCATGTATTTGATAGAGGAGTTCCTACCTCTCTCTTTTCAGTGGTTTAACAGAATCCCTGAGGACTAAAGCTTTGACAGGTTTTGCTGTTGCCACTCAAATTAATTTCTGTAAGTCAAATATTTCAGATGCAGCAATACTTGCTACCTTTTGTAAAGTAATTTGGCATCTGCAGTAACAATAATTACATGGCTGTTAGTTGCATGGTGACAGTGTTTTCTTAAACAGTTGCAAAAATCTATTTAGGAGTATTTGGGATGCTATTTTATATAGTAAATTAAAATATATATAAAAACATTTGTAAAATAATAAAGACTTTTTTTTCCAGTCAGTGAATGTTACTTGCTTTTGCTATTATGTTTTATTTTAATAAGAGTTGTTTCTGCTGAACTGTGGAGAAAAAATGTGGGTTTAGTTTTCAACCTAATTTAATTACCAGAGCATGTCAGTAGTCTTCAAGAATTAGTTTTTTTGTGCACTGGCAAGATTCGTGTTCATCTTTGCTCTGGGCCTAGCCTGGTTATTAAAAGTTAGGTTGAAAATACTTGTATAACAAGAATTACCATAAACTTTTTTTGTTCTTCATATGTCTAAACTATGTAGACAAAATTAAATATCTGGTTATTTTTTCATTTTGTTTTCAATATTAGGCGACTGATGTCTGTGATCCAAACCCAGTCATGATGCTTATGCTGTGTGTCTATCTATATGAAAATCTCCCTCACTACTTACCCACGAAGACTATAGAATTTACAGGTGCTCTCCATGAAACTGTTGTTAAACAGGTACTGATATAATTTAATTTAAATGTGTAACATTAAAAGGTTAAAAGACTGTATGTATACATGTATTTATATTATGTACATACTAAAACATAGAATTAATAGGCTTTGTGTCAGTTGGCCACTAAATATAGAAGATAGGATCATGTATCTTCTTTTTTTCTCTTCAAACTTGGGATTCTGACTTCTGCTGCTGTTTTTAACTTATGTACAGAACAAAAATCTACAAATCTGACAAATCTGAGGTCAAATATAGAGAGGACTAAGAGATTAACAGACATGGGAGTGCAGTGTACACTGCAAAAAGAGTAGTCAGAAAAGCTGAGTCTGTACTCCCTAGGAAGAAAAATTATTTACCTCGTTATTTGAAGTATTTCTTATTTTGTGATATCCTTAGTTAGTATTTTGGAACTTAGCTGCACAACATATAGTCTAAAAACTGAATAAAAATAGGCTGATTTTATTGTTGCTGTTTTGATAGATGTGTCTGAAAAACCCAAGCATTAAAACCTTGAGGTACAATGCTATGCTTGTCGGAAAAGATGCTGATGATTTCTCATTACCTAAAGGAAACACTGTCAACGTTGCCCCTAAGTAAGTATTACATTTTTTTAGTGTTGCTAATAAGTCTAGCAGTATGAAAATATAAATCTGCTAATTTTCTAGTGGTGGAACAACAGAAATATGTTCAGACTTTTCTTCTGACCTTAAAGATTAGACTTTTTCGGTTTAACCTAGAACAAATCCAGAATAGTTTATCAGTGGCACACTTGCAGTTTAGCTCAATAGAGCTATAAAGCAGAATACAAACCTTCAGATAATCAGAGGAGTTATCTGTGTCCAATAAATATTTTTGTCTCAATGTATAGAAAGCTTTAGTTTTCAGTTTGGATTTGCTGTTTTTATATATTTGGTTTTTTTTGCCCAACTGAAGTATCCCTTCTGATCTTGATTCACATTTTTTCATCAATGCATTGGGAAACATAAGAAGGTAGAAATACTTTATTCTAAGATTTCAGTTTTTCTTTATTATTTTTATTGGAAGCATTGCTGGGAATTGGACAGACCATGACACAGGTTTGACAGTAGTGTTAGACTGCTTCTTTTTGCCCCCATTCTCACTTCCCACCAAGAGAGAAACTGCTGCAGATACAATGTAGTTATTTCTCTATCTTACATTTCTGAAAGCCTTTTAAGCAGCCTGGAGAGATTTAATTTCATGAAAACATTAGATGGTTAACATTTTTGGTAGCAGTAATATTTATGGTATGTTGCTATCTTTTTTTTTTTCTTCTTTTCTTTTGTTCACTAAGTATGCTTTGCTCTTTCTGTGCTATGTGGCTTTTATGACTAGATACAGAAATTTCACTATTCCTGTTTACCTATTGAAGACAAGATGGATATAGCAGTGATTCTGCTAAAGTCAGTTAAGACTTTTAAGTTTAGACTGCAAATATATTTAAGATATTCATTTGCAGATAAAATAGATTGGAGATTGTAATAAGGAAAACAAAGGTCAACATTCATATGCAAGTAATCTGGGAAGAGGAAGAAAAACCTCAAATGTATATTGTCAAATAAATAGAAATAAATACAGTGCTCTTTAAGGATGATCAGTATTTCAGTATTAAATGACATGCCTATTGTAAATATATGCAAAAAGGGACAATAAGTAATGCTATGTTTCCAGTGGAACTGTGAGGGTGATTTGATTCCATTTTCTTTGCAATTACTTCAAATAAGAATTAACATAAATAATGTAATCCTTGAAAATATCATGTGTTTCTCTGAAAGGTCAATACCATGGCTGTTTTTCACTTCGGCTTTAAAAAAAACAAGACACAATAAATGTGCTTGGCATTATATATGGTAACAAACATTTGGAAAAATGCATAGAAATAAAAGCTCATGGAAATGCCAGTCATCCAGTGCTGACCACTGCAGAGTTTGTCATAATGTGACCTAACTTGTAATCTTGGTCACTAAATGAAAAGTAGGTTCATTGTGATTAACAGCTTTCTTAATATTCTGAGGGAAGTGTCTGAGAACTCTGAGCTTTGGTGGTATGGGTGAGAGTCTTGTAGGTTCTTTGTTAGGCCATAATATCATAAGTGTGTTTGGAAGTAATAGTAACTTGAATAATAAACACTTCTATTTAATAGATTATGTGTCGACTTATTGCTGTTAGTTGTATAAGGCCAAGAAAAATGGCAGAGGATTTGTAGAAGAGAGTGTTCTGCTTTCTTTGGAAGGAATGCCTTCAGAAAAACTCAGAAATGTGGCAGACTTCTAGAAACAAACATATTTATTGGCTGTATAAGAAGTGAGGGAGAATTTTCAGTGTATTTAGTTAACAATTTGATGTGTGAGTATTAGTAAAATCTAATGTAGTTACTTTTTGACTGGAACATTAGCATCGTTGACTATAACTTATTTAGGAATAAAATCTGTTAAATTAACTAAATTTGCTTCACATTGAAGTTATTTTTTCTACTTTTAGAACTAAATAATCCATAAATAGAGGATTGGAGGCAGGTGAATCAATGTGTTAACAATCACTAAAAATTAGGAAAGCCTACTTGCTGAATCAGAGAACAGGGTTCTAGTTTAAAAAGAGAAGTTATACTTTAAAAAACCACCTTTCTGAGTATCACTGAAGGTTGAGACAACTTACGGTCAGATATCCCTACATCCTAGTTCCCCTGAATGGAAACTTCTTTATGAATTTATGAGTGTTATACATAAATATGGCAGTGCCTTCACCACTAGTTTGGCTTTTACTGCAAGCTAGCTTGATACCAGCCAGTTTTCCACCCCCCAACACCCCGAAACAACAGGTACTTTAGATAAACTAATAAACAAGAAGCAGCAAAAAGTAGCAGCTGTTGCCTTGAGAAGGCCTGCTGCAGGGCTGCAGTCAAATTGTAAAGCTTATTTTGCTGAAGTTTGAGTGTAAAAGGTCAAGGGAAATATTAGCACTTCAGAGAACATTAACTCATGAGAGTTCAGGCAATTACAGCTGAAAAGATGAGCTGCAGCCTTTATAGGGAAGCTAAAGAAACTGAAACTTGTCAGTCTTCTGGCTGGAGAGCTGGAAGACTTTAAGTAAGACATGTTATGCATAGAGACATGTCTCTAGTTATCTGCCAAATATATATTCCTATATTTAAAATTAACTAAAATTTGCTTTAGGATGACTGTGGGTCATTATAATCACTAATAAATTATTGTCATGATTTGACTCAGGATCAGGAATTAAACAGGTTACAATAATGCTCTTGATCCCCTCCACCCTCTGTCCGTCCTATTTGTGACAAGAGCAGACTTCTTAAAACTTTTAAGGTAAAAGTGGCTCTGGAAGGGGATGTCTCGGGCAGTACACTGCTCTAAGAATCTGCAGTCCCAGGATGCATTTTCCAGGATATTTTAAATGGCAGGATGGCTTAGGAGCCTCAGACTCTGTAGGGCTTAGCAACTCTTCACTGTCAAATATGGTAATGCCTGGGGGCTCTGCAGCAAGAATGTGAAAGCAGTAAGGGCCAAGTATTAGGAACATCCAGGATTTCATCAATTCTCTGAAATGAGATCCCGTGACTTTTGGCATTAGGAAGAACTCAGGGCAAAATCATACTTCTTTCTCCTCCTTGTTAAGCCTGGAGATCAGATTAATTAGTAATTTTTGGTGCAGTTTGAGCTTTTAAAAAATCTGTTGTATCTTTTTTGAGGCAAAGAGGTGCAAACAATAATTAAGTTTTGAGCCCTTTGGATGGGATCTGGTGGCCTAATGGTCATCTCTATGTTATTGTCTGTTACTTTTCTTACTATTCCTAACACTCCATTCACTTTATTGGATGTTTCCCAGCACTGTGATAATGCTTTTATGAATCTATCACAAATCCAAAGTTCTCACATTTTCTCTGTGTATCTCTTTACAGAATTTCCTTGTCATTTTGTTGTCTCATAAGTGCAATCTTTGCACTGTCAATCTTAATCCATTACAACCTAGCAACTTAGAACATCAGTAAACTTCCTTACCTTTCTGTTGCCACAGACCTTTGAGAACTTAATCCTTGAAGACCTTCCTATATAGTAAGGAGTGTTATTTCCTACATGATATCTTTTCTCCTTTTCCACCTTTTCCTCTTTCCTACTTTCCTTCTTTCTCTCATTCATGTCTGCTAGTTTCCTTGCAACTCTATAGAATGAAACTTTGTTAGAAATAGAAGAATTAAATCACCCTTGACCATGTTCTTGCTCTTTAATGAAGTTCCATAGGTTTATGAGGCAGGACTACATTTTACACCTGTTCATTCCTGCCAGTTGATCTTGTATATGTAGAACTTGTTTATATTATGTATCACATTAGATACAAGAGTAGTTTTAAGAATGCTATATGTCTATTTGTTGTTTGTTTTTTTTTTTCCCTGGTCCATAATTAAAATGCGGTAAAGGACTTCCCAGAAAGTTTCCTCAACAGCAGCTGTCATCAAGGGACAAATTGTGCCACCACTCCCATCAAAATAAGTTTATAGAACTTCTGCCATCACTGTGATTGCTCAACTTACATGAAGAGATGTGTGAATTGAGTTTAGTTGAAAAAGTAGCTGCTGTTACGAAAGTTGTGAACCAAATGTAAATTAACGCTATTTCAATGATGACATGGTAGGCTGATTGCCAATAGAAGTCCTCAACTTTATGATTTACTTGTATAAGTAGGTAATATATGTAATACAACACATACATACCTAATATACATACAATATAAAATATATAATAAATAAAATACATAATGGGCATATTTCACATACTGTTTTTAGTAGATTGCTTCTGCTTCAGAATTCCAAGTTAACAGAAGGCTAGTAAGTCAGACAAAATTTCCCTCTGCCCTCTATTTTAATTCTTTTTTGTCAGGCTGCACATTTCCTATTAATTGTTTAATGAGAAAGGCTTTTTTTTAGATTGGGGAGAAACTTCCTTTTGACTTTAGTATCTGCTCTCTCTTCCAGAAAGACAACTAAACAAATCTGCTGTTTATAAACATAAACTGTATTTTAAGAATTCCTTTGAAGTATTATTTAATACCAGCTTAAGTAAATGAAGAAATTTTAGGCTTTTACTAGAGATTGTTTTCTTTCCACCACCCCTTTCATACAGTTTGTTGGTTTTTTTGTTACATTTTAAATGTTCTTTAACTTCATAGACATTTAACGTAACTGGTTTTTACTCATTTATTTCTCAGTCTTCAATGAGAATTTGATTAAGAGCATCTAGATTTGCCTCACAATAAACATAATAAGATGCCAGACTGTTGAACTCACAAAAAGATAGTCAAATCGGGGAGCATGAAATAAATAAGTTGTTAAGTTTGGGTAATAGTATAAGGAAAGAGAATTTTCTGTGCTAGTGCATGTGGGAAGAAAAACTAATCAGTATGCTGTGGTCATAAAAAGTCCTAAGGACTCAGTATTTTTCTTTTTCCTATCTATATAGTTATTTTATTAAAATATTTTAAGATACTCCTAGGCAGAATATTGAACTACAACCAAGTATTTTGGAAGAAACATGTGACTTTCTTTTCTAGTCCCCTTCCCTTAAAAGGATCTAAAATAGGTTCCTGAAAAGACATTTCTGAGTGACAATTTCATGTCTAGCTATCTTATTATTGATGTTGTTGTTATTATAATATTTTAGTTTATTTTATTAATTTATTATTTTGCCTAGGAGAAAAACAAGTATTTATTTGGAATTCACT